TTTTTTTTTTTTTTTTTGGCTGCTTGGGGGGGCCAAAACCCTGGAGCCGGCCCTGCTGGCAACACTACCCTAAGCGTTACTATAAAAGACTTGATTAATAATAATGAATAACTGCAAATGTAATTTAAAAGTGACAACTACAAATATTATAGCAAACATTTAGTAAGTAGTTATTTATATATACACAAACAATGCACTCAACATAAAACAATGAGGAGCAGTTACACAAAACCAAATTAAATGTTACAAGTGGCCAATCACTAGGGCCATAAAAATCAGACCAATCCCCACCCTCTTCCAATTATCTCCAGACCCATCTAAAAGAAGTATGCTGTCTTCTTGAACAGCCCATTTACTTCAAAAGGACTACTCCACTGCATAAGCATTTGCAGGATCAGGCAGCCCTTGATATCTTACTTTGAATTATATGGAGAATGGAGTCTTGTAAATGCCATATATGTCTTATCTGTAATTTTTACTAGTGTTTTCCTTTAAAGAGGAAATGTTTGGCCATAGGTTATGTTAGGTTTTTATTACTTGATTACTTCATTCATATTGTTTGCTTCTGAGCTCATTCATAGAGATTTTTCTGGGTTTGTATTTCTTGCTCTGCTTTAAAAACTCACCCATGGCCAAATATTACATCGTTAGTCAAAAAATTTTGAGTCTTACCCTTCAGCCCTTCCTCTCTTGTGTTACTGGTCTTCTCTGGACCCGCCGGAATCTGCATGTGTGTCAAGGCATCTGGGAGTTCTGGGGACAGAATCATTGCTCATTCAAAGAATGTGACAACTCTACCTTCAGTTGAATAATTCTAGGTTTTCCTTTCCCAGAGCGTGCTCCATTTCAAAAGGGAGAGGCAATCCTGGCTCAAGAGAGTGTGGGGACTTGAGTGAAATGGTAGGTATAGAGCTGGTTGGCAACTGGAATTTCCATTCTGTAGGAGAGTCCAACACTTTGAAAAACAACAACGTTTGTTGTGAAATGGAACGAAAAGCAGAAATTTCACAACTTCCCACAAAACAAAATGTTCAAAAAACCTTTTTTGATAAAAGTGTTTTGTTTCAGTGTGGACTTATTTTTAATTTTTGTAATTTTATTTGTTGTATGTTTTGTATTTCATATTATAATTTACAATGTAAAATAAATTTCTAAACAAAAGGTCATTTCAAAACATAAAATCAAAATGTTCCCTTCCAAAAAGCTTTGTTTCAATTTTTTTAAAACTAAATTTGATCAAAATTGGCATATTCCTGGGGAATATTTTGATTTTTGACAAATCATTTTCCGAAAGAAAAATGTTCTGTTAGAAAATTTCTGACCTGATCTAGGTAGGTGCATACTTTAAAACTTTAAAAAAAAATATTAGAGAAATACTTGGCCCTGATAGGTTTGGCTGCGCTGCAGCTGGCACATGACACAAGGATTGGGGGAAGAAGTGCTTATATGCCATATTTTTGCTTCTTCGATCTGGGAACCAGGACTTCCAGAGCTTGGTTTGATCCTCTAGCACAAGACAGAATTATTTGGACTGCTCCATTACTAGTGGTAATGGCCCCCCAAAGGTATTTATGCTGGCTGGAAGGGGATGGAGCCTGTAATGCTCTGGCCGTGCTCCTCTTCATTCACACCCCACTTCTCTCTCCCAGCTATGGACTGTATCCATATAGATGACCTACAGTAATAACAAGTATCCAGGAATGGTATATTAAGATAATTCACTTCCGGTGTAACTAGGATCAGAATTTAGCCCTATGAGCTTAACAAAACAAGTGGAAAATCAGGAGGGAAATATATTACAGAATTAAAAAATACTTTTTGTGTACAGGAAAAAGACTTGACAATAAATAGAGTAAGCAAAGTGTAATAGTTCTAATTAAACAAAGTTGTAACCTGCTTTATAGTGTCTTACCAGCTGTTTTACAATCTTTTGGATCACCTGGGAGGAGACATCCTCTGGCTGTCTACTGAGATAATTTGTGGAAACCCCACTGGCTAGCTCCCCCACCACCCTTTAGGAAGTAGTAGGGGTGAGAGGACTATTAATTCTCCAACCTTTTAAAAGGCTATTTGGACTGTTCCAGTTTCCCCCAAACGCTCCTGTCAAAAGTCAGAGTACTTTCTCCCAGTTACCTTCCAACTTCAGTGTCCAACCTTTAATGGCTCCTGGGGTCAGTCCCCAATAAAAAGGTGCATAGACTGTGTATCTGTTGTATTTAAGATGTCATTAAGCCATTCTACATGTTCCACAGCAACCAGCTGACACTCTCCTTGATCATCATGGATTTAAAGTGTTTTTATAGTTCTACAGAAGTGCGCATTATACAGGCACAGATGGGCATTTCAAGGGCTAGTAATTCAATTATGATTCAGAAATATTTGTATATTGGCAAAGTTAATTGGTTTCCTCTTTGGCAACAATTTTAAGATTCTTGCTCAGTATTACTGATTATTGTGAATTGTTTTTTTAAGGGAATGTTGGATCATGACATTGGTAGGAAAAAGCATATCTTGAATACTGTTTTTTGCTGGCACGGATATATTTATGGTAGTTTGGGGAGTTTAAATGTTACTTTTCCAGCAGCACTGCAAATTCGCATAATTAAAATCTGAGTGGCAAAAATGGTAAGTTTATACTGTAACTTTTCAAATCTGCTAGAATGCAATATAAACAAGTTTCCTAGTTTATCTTGTTTATTTGTTATTTTAATTTTTTTTGTTTGGCTTGTGGTACAGTATATGTATGCTGTCTATTATACCATTGCTATTGTAATGCTGTATTAAAGTTTAAGATGGCATTTCTGTTGCCTGTTTTCAGTCACTTATAATGTACTAAAATACCTTTTGCAATGAAATGTCTCACTTGTGAGCCAAGGAATGAATCCCTTAAAATGTTTAGTAAAATTCTGTTTGGACTTTTTTGAATTATTTGAATTTGGTTTAAAAAAAGTATGTCAGTGCAATGTTAAAACTGAGATTTTAATCATGCAGAAGACAGGAAATTCTAGATTAACTTTACTCCTCTGAGCAATATCTGGAGAGAAATAAAGAAATCAGATTCCATTTTTTCAAGACATTTTTAATATTAATAGCCTGAAAAATAATTATTGTAATGTTTTTTTTACCAGGTAATGTTTTGTTTGTGTGACTATAACCTAAGAAAATAATTCGTAGTGAGCTAGGGAGATCTACGTAGAATAACAGGAGTACTTGTGGCACCTTAGAGACTAACAAATTTATTAGAGCATAAGCTTTCGTGGGCTACAACCCACTTCTTCGGATGCATCCGAAAGCTTATGCTCTAATAAATTTGTTAGTCTCTAAGGTGCCACAAGTACTCCTGTTATTTTTGCGGATACAGACTAACACGGCTGCTACTCTGAAAGCTGTCATTACGTAGAATAGACTCTACTCTTATTCAGGGCCTCACAGAGGTTTTTGGATGCCTGGGGCAAAATCTGAAACTAAGGCCCGCCACCCTTCAAAACCAACCAACTAACCAACCGAAAACAAACAATCCGCTCCCTCAAACACCACGGGTGCAAAAACACTAAAGGGAGGACCTGAGGAGGATGAGGGCTTGGGGGAACAAGCCCACCTCAAATTCCCCCTGCAGCGGCAACTCCTGTCCTGCAGAGTTGGGCCCAGCTCTCTACTTTGGGTGTTGGACCTGGTGCACAGGCTTACAGCACCATATCTGAGTGGCACTGTCTGCGACCCTGTGCACCAGGTCGCAGCATCACTCAAATTAGACCCCGCAGCCATAATGAAGAGGTGGTAGGGCCAAGCCTGAATGGCGCTGCAACCAGCCCTACTTGCTTTGGTTGGCCTCTCAAATGGGGGCCTGGGGAAAACTGCCCCTTTGCCCCCACCTCTGGGCGGCCCTGTTCTTATGCTGTTGCTAAAGAGAAGTGCATCTGCTGTTTATTTTTCCAAAATAATAACAGCTAGAAACCTCCAATAATGTTAACCCTCTTTTTATATAAGAAAAGAAAACGATCAAATTTACTATTAAAATACATTTAAAAGTTGCTCTAACCAAGTATTCCAGCACATTGCCATTTAACTCCAAAAATATTACTAAAATATTAACTTAATAGCAAATATTTATACATTCAATATTTCAGGGGATTTAACAACATGGCTAGCATGGATAACAGAAGTATTGTTAGAATCTTTTATTTTTTCCATTGACTCTGGGAACAAAAACCTAGGTGCTGTAAGAGGTGGTGTAATCTGGTTTTAAATCAGAAATTTAATCCATATGGTTCTTATTAATTTCATGCAACTTGAGCAAATGATTACTTCTAAACTTTCCTCTATTGTCTGTCTGTACCAAATAGGGTTGCAGTGTGCATAACTGCTTTTAAGAGTGCTAGGCTGGAACTGATCATCACATCAGGATTTTACATGTCCATGCGCTCTCCTTCCTAGGTTTTCGTGTTCCTGCTGCAATATTGTTCTTAAAACTCACCCCTGCCATAATGGTTACAAAAAACTGCCACTTGATAATAGTTGGACAAGTTGGTTGGCTAAGATTTGTGCACATGGCTACTCTGCTAAAAACCCTATTATATTTTATCCTGTCCTCTCCCCCACCTGCCTGTTTGTGCCATCCACCTCTTATATCCTATCTTTTCATCCATAAACTCTTTGGTGCAAAGACTGCCATTTAGTATTTTTAAACTGACTCAGATTTTTTAAACAATAAGCTTCACACTGTGTGTATATTCAGGAATTAGAGCTGTTGGCAATCCGGATGCCAATAGTCAATAGCACCATCTACTGTAGAAACAGTAATTGGAATTCAAGAGCATCAGGGATAAAATCAATGGGAGTTTGCCATTGACTGCAGTGGAGCCAGGTGTTTAAAACAAAAACACAGCTATGGGATCTCCAGAGCTCCCTAGTTTCTGACTACAGCTGCATGTAGGTGACAAAATTTGTTTGCAAAATGGTCTTGTACTATATTACATAGAATTTGTTTAAGTGTGACCACTTTTCTTAGTCAAGACAACCCCTCTGTGATTGTGCACTTCCAGAAGCTTGAAATGAACCAAAGCTCAACTTTGGCTTTTAGGATCCCAGGCAATAGGGAGTCTATGGTGTAAATTTCCAAGCACCTGGTGTAACCACTAACATGTATATGTATAAATTGACTTCTGCTCATATATGAATAATTGCAAATGAACCTATTGGGTTCATTTGCAGATTCCAGTGTTTGCAAGTTTGATTAAGTTTATTTTATTTTCCTCTGCAATCAACATGTCCAACAGTAAGCGCAACATTTTGGAGCTGTGGAAGAACTTCTTCAAGGGCGTCAGGCCCCAGCACACTCCCCATTGCCTGGCTGCATGGGCTGGGAAAAGAATCACAACACTTCTAGGGTCAGAGTCAATTCCAGGAGCAAGGGTCTGGTGGGCGATTGCTGGGAGCAAAAGTGGCGTAAAGAGTGAGGTGCCTTAAGACACGATGATGTTAGTATCCTGCTTTTTACAATTTGAACTTTGGACATGATTTTCTGTCTGCTGGTTGGTTGTTTGCTTTGATCTCCCACAACCCTCTCCCTCATTCTCTGGGCTGCCAGCCTCACTATCTCTTCCTTCTGCTTCTTTCCTTCCTTCCATCTGTCCTCTCACTCTTATTTACTCTCTCAACCTTCCTCCCTCAATGTCCCACTTCCCCTTTCTTTTTTTCCTCCTCCTTCCTGCCATTTTTCTCACCCCATCTCTTTCCTAATAATAATAATAATA